CGTGTATCAACAACACAGGTTTTAAAAATTATATTTTATTCTTCATTTTTCCCCCCTATTTTGATCCTGAGTGGTGGAAGGTGCTGAAAAGTCAATTTAAGGACGACACTACAAGTAAATAGACGGGGAGGGGGAGCAAGTAGGTAAGGACGGTATGCGAAAATAGCGCGCAGTCCTGAACATGTCTGAACAGTTTCAGTTAACGTTGACACGGAAGTGGGTTAAATGGGTCATGTGTTTTCTTCTCATTCATTAACTTTATAACAATAAAAACATATAAGGCACCATTAGTTATCCAAGCATCTAAATATATACGGTTGAGCATTGCAACAGACGAAAAAGAGAGATAAAAAACAAAACAAAAAACGAGAAATAACAAAAGAAAGAAAGAAAGAAAAACAGGGGCAATGTAGAATCCAAGAACCTATGCATAGTGTGAACAGAAAGGGAAATCATGATCCACATCTTATATAGGGAGGAGGCGTCCTTTTAACATGAATTGAACTTACTGAAAAGTGTTAAAAGTTTATGGGCTTTGTTTCATTTACAAGTTTCAGCGACTTCTGTCACCATCTGTTTATACATGGTTTAGCTTTGAGATGTCTGCATTTAAGAATAAAAAACTTTCCCACTAACAAGACATTTCTAATCACCAATATACTGAAACTTAGCATTGTGCTAATCAGTACAATTTAAGCATTCATTGCACCTGTATATACACCTGTGCAGCAAATGTATGGTAAAGATACAGCTAATGAAACTTAATTATTAATAAAATATACATCATGAAAAACAAAATCTGAAATTGATTCAGTTTAGTAATGTTTAGTGTGCTTATAAAGGCCCCAAATGCTGTGATATATACAGTAAATGATGTGGAAATAATGAATAATATATGAATAATAATGAAATCACTGCTGATTGTCTGGTTGTTTATGTTTTCAAATGTTTTTGTGTGTCCGTAGGTCTGTTTGATGACGATTTGGACTCCTCTGGGAGATGAGAACACACCCACATCTGTTTCATAGATGTGGGGTGTTACGGTTCTGAGTCAGCTTTGTGGCATCAGACACACACCTGAAAACCAGCACCTGGACTTCATGCAGGAGAGACTGCCTCAGTGATGATGGACTCTGCTCCTCTACTGTTACATCCTCACGAAGGAGGTCTAGGGGTGTGTGTGTGGAGCGGTAACAAAAGGGTCCGGAACAGAATGAAGAGGAAAACAGGTGTTTAGCAAACATAATTCCAAAGAATAACGCAGGAGATCAAAGTCCAGCTATGTATGAATGTAGTTTTATGCACATCTTCTCCTCCCACTGATCACTTCTTCCACCGAGTGGATAGATCACAGCATTCCAGCTTTTCTCATCATCTGTTGTGTGTTTTGTGTGTTTCTTTTTTTTTTGTGTGTGTGTGTGTTTCAAGCGTAATGTGCTCGGGATTCCACAAATGATCCAGTACCTGCATCCTGCTGGAGAACTGTACGTAAAACACACAAACACAAAGTGCTAACATGCAGTTCATACATGTGCCCATCACTGCACTGAATTATGAAGCAACCAGTGCACAGAGTTTGGATCAACTGATGAAAATTCTCATATTTTTGTTTTTAGGGCAAAAAGAGGAAGAGAACACGAAATCGCACCTCGAGCACAGGTGAGAGGAGATTTCTGGGAATTACGACGTTTTTTCATGTGAAATGTGATGAAAAGAAGACGGAAATCTGTTAACAAAAGAAGACTTACTGTGTTTTTGTTTGTGTTTGTTTGTGCAGCATCTGAACCTAAACAGGAAGATCAACAGGCCAAGAGGCTTTGTGTGACGCCAGCTCAGACACAACCATCTTCTTCCTATTCAGTTGCGAAGGAGCCTCTTGAGCAGCCACAGAGACAGCCAGCTGTTACCAACCTTCCTGATCAGCAGTCAGCGTGTGTGCAGCTGCAGAACACACAGACAACAGTTGATGCACCTGTGTGTCAAGTAAATCCGGTCCTCCCAGCTTCTCGTGTGGATTTCTCCCCATCTGCATCACTGGCCTCCTCTGCTGCACCCGTCCAGCTCCAGGCCACTTTTGTCAGTGACACTGATGAAGCACTGCTGTCAGTGGTGGAACAGCTTGACCCCCTCCTCACTTCTGAGCAGTCTCAGCAGCCCTCCTCTCCACTCACTGGTCATCACCTAAATCAGACCAACCCTGCTTCTCCTGTATATACGTCTCTATCCACATCATTTACCTCTTCTGCCACATTCTTTCAACACCAAAAAGAGCCTATTGGTTTCGCTGACATTCAGGAAGACATGTGGTCACTCCTTAACCACCTCCCTGCCACTCCACAGCCGGATACATTCTCCTTTCCTAACATTCCTACTCTGATTAGCCCTGCTTCTCTGGAGAACTCCTCTCCATCTAAATTGCTGGCCTCCCCTGTTGCGCCCACTGAATGCCAGTCAACGCCTCCCTTCTTCAGCCAAACTAAAAAATATGATGTCGCTACTTAACGACCTCCAACCTTTGCACAGCCTCTACAGCCCTCCTCTCCTCAAGCAGACTGGTTCTGACCATAATCAGATCAGTCCTGCATCCCCCAAACCACGGCTACCTTCTGTAATAAAGTCTTAGCTCACTGCAGTCTTTCCTCTGTTTCAGAACTGCTTGCCAGAAATCTCTCCATGTGTGTGTGTTTGTGTGTGTGTGCACGCGTGTACAGATAATCCTTGTTTTGGTGTGTAAATAAAGCTTGATCAAAAAGTAAGTCAGCTCTTGAGTCTGCTTTTGGATCAGCCTCTCGTATGAACCCTCTGGGTTTGTGATGATATCACTCATATAAACTCTTTAAATAAGGCTGCCATTCCCTGGTGGTATGTGGTCTCACACACTGAGGCAATGAGAGACCTTTGGTACTTTATGCTAGGGAAATGGCCTCCAAAATCCAGTGGCAGTGTATCTGTTTATGTAAAGTTTTATACCTGGCTGTCAGCAAAGCAGACGAACAGTCTATCAGATAAATGCACATCCTGAATCTGTTTAATGAAGCAGCACATCACAGGACACAGAGGTTCACAGGGCTGCTGCATTCCATTTGTAAAAGAGCACTGGAAAGAGAAAACACACCTACACTTGCCATTCATAGGCACACAGCTCTTGTAAATTAAGCCCTCACACTTTTGATCATTGCCACCATAGCTGCAAGCAAACCTTTAGCTGAGCTGACCTCTCAAGAGGCAAGACAGAGAATGAACAGTGCAGGTAGCAGCTCCAAATACATGATGTACATCTTGCACTGGGGCAGTAATGTCAACTCCTCATTATGGAAAATCACTATAGGCTGTTCTAGAAGTCGCTAGAAGTGATGCCATCGCCTAATTTGCATAATTGGTCATGCTTGTAAACTACGCAGTAGGAAAGAGAAATAACATCGTGGAAAAGACATAAAGTGAGTAAAAAACACCCTAAATGCATTTAGAATATATTTAGAACTACAAGTTACATTTATCTTAATTCCAACCCTCCTCCTTTATTCGGGCTTGGGACTGGCAAAAGTGACCCGAAATAGGCACGCTTTTTAAGTAGTTTTAAACCACACAAGACTAAGGGTAAAAGTTTTTAACCATCATTTTGTTAACAAACTACATTAGCAATCTAAATGGACCAAAAACAGACAGTAGAAATAAACAGTGTCAATGTGAAAAAAAGATGGGGATTAGTCTGGTCCTAATTCAGGCTGATTGCTTTGTTTTGTTTTTTCAGACATCCCTCCACACACACACACACAGGCTGTGCTGGCTCACAGAAAGAGTAGGTCATCCTCATTTTCATCTCATGTTCAGCAACTGCAGCACTTGACTTAAATGAGTAAGCAGCTGATGTGCCAAAAAGCTGCAAAACATTATTGTATTTGGCTCTCGGAGGAGGCGGATGCACTTTTTCTCCTCTCCTCTCCCTTATCTTCCCTGCTTATGTCCTTGTCTAGTCTCATGTTTTTTGTATTACTTTCCCTGGAACACACTCTCACAGTCTGTTTCTAAAACCTAAAGAGAATTATGGATTTGATCAACTGGTCTCTGAATGCTATTGACACCCTTTTCTCAACGAGAAGTCTGGGCTCGGGAGAGCCCGAGTGCCCTGGAGGGACTTCCCCTGCCGGATACACGATGGACGGGTGGCAGAAATGGAGGATCGTGTGCCTGGCGGGACTGTCGATCGAGGACGCTGAAGATATCTATCTATTCGAAACCATGATAACAGGGTTCTTCCTGATCGGAGCTGGCTTGGCCCTGGCTTATCGGAGAATTAAGACAGCGGAACGAGCTGTTCAAACCCCCCCAAGGCTGCCCGCTGGGATTGAAACGATGGGACGAGGCGCGACTTCTCAGAACAGGCTCATTGAAAGCAGCATGGTTAAGACCTTGGAGACGCTTACAGCTGCCGTGAATACTCAGAATAACACCTCGCAGAACAGCTCACTGCAGTTGTGAGTTCTCAGAATCGGCTCTCTGAGCAAAAGAATGACAACACCACGGAACGCAAGTTTGATACCATCATGGGAATCTCGCGGTTCTCCAACGGGAGATTGAGAGACCAGTGTCGGAGTGTTAAAGAACAGCTTTGAAATTCTCATGAGTTGTTGCAAAAGAAAAATTACCATCATAATCCGGCTACCCCTTTGACGCCAGCTGTGAGCTCAAGGCTGGAGCCGAACAAAAACTCCCTGATAACGACTGTGTTTAGTCTGTTCCTTCCCATTCCCTACAAGGCCACCTGGGTTGGCTGGAAGACTGTTTACTTAGCCTGGCAGGGCGAAGGACACTGTCTCAGCTGAACTATGGACACGCAAACACATATACTGATACTGATAAGCACTCACTGATGCATCACCCTCCCTACCCCGGATCCAACGCCACCTCCAACGCTTACCTCCCCTCTGATGTGGACATCGGGTCAGCTGGAGGCGCAGTCGAAGATTGCAGCGGTCCCAGATCAGATGTACACACTGGAACGCTTTCCCATGTTGCTTGTCTGTGTTTATTGTGCTATGGTGTGTTGATATCTGTGCATTCCTGTATTATCCTTTTGTGTTACACATTTCAATGTTTTTTTTCCTCGCTACCTGGCCTGACCTGTCTCCCCAATGTGATGTTGGTGTATTCTATGTACGGTCGGCAAGGTCTGTCATCTCGGTTGTGGGCAAAAGACCTGCAACTGACAAATAAAGGCTATCTCATCATCTCATCTCGTTATCAGGCAGCTGGTGTTTTTTGTTTGCTTTTTACCACACTCATCTGGCTGAATACTCTCTCAACTTCAGCATTTGAGTGTGGCAAGGACAATACAGACACATCAGCCTTTGCAAGTTCTTGAAACGGGTTGATATCAGCTGCATCCCTGTACTTCCAAAACTCACTCCAGAAATTTTTTGTCTCATTCCAGATGGATAGCATGCCATTGGTGGACACTCTTATCTATCGCTTCATGGGAGAAGCCAAGGAGGTTAGCAATTTTTTTCTATTTCTCCAGGGCTCTTGTTGTGCTTTAGAGTTTCCTCCACATTGAAAACTGACATGTACTGCAATGCTCCAGTGTTGTCCGGCAGTCTCACTCTCGACTCATTAGTGAGGGATAAGGCTACACACCACTTTGTGACATTTTTTTCATCCTCAGGTGCAAGGTGCAACTCAGCTGCTTTCAACTCAAAAATGTAACCAAGGTATGGTGTCACGGTGCTGGGTCGTTGACCCAGCGTTTTGTGTTTAGTATGATTATTGTCTTCTGTTCTAGTTTATTCTTATTTTGGTATTCTGTGTCCTCCCCTTGTGCCCTGTTTGTGTCCCTGAGTTCATGTTGAGGATTTCCTGTTTTACTTTGAAGGTCTTGTCTCATGTGAGTGTATTCTGCTTTACTCCCTTGTCTTGTCTTGCCTATTGAGTCCCAGCTGTGTGCCCACCTGTTCCTCGTTTCCTCATGTGCCTGCCAGTGTATTTTAGTCCCTGTCAGTTAGTTATTGTTGTCGCGTCGATAACGTCGGTTACCCTCAACTTGCTGTGTGTTTGTTATGTCCAGTCCTCCAGCACCTCTGTTTAGAGTCTCGGTTTTGCGGCTTTTATTTTACGAAGAGTTTGTCCAGCAATAAAGCTGCGTTTTCAGAGTCCTGCATTTTGGGTCCACCACTTCTGCCTGCCTGCTAGTGATGGGATTTCCGGCTGTTTTTAGAGAACCGGCTCTTTCGGTTCGGCTCACTAAAAAGAGCCGGCTCTTTCGGCTCCGAACCGGCTCTTCAGGTTGTTTTGTTGCTTTAATTAATTTATTATTAAAAATAATATCAAATTATGTACAAAAGGAATTACTAATGTAAAAAAAAAGTGGTTTTATTTATATATGTTTATATATAAATATATGCGGTGGCCCCTAGAGACAAAACACGTACAAACTCCAAAACACATTTCTAGCATGAACTGAACTTCTACACTGAAAAAAAGGGACTGGCCATCTCTTGGATTTATGTAAGCATCTTGCATGTATTTAACACAATTGCCTCATGTTTTAAAGATAAATGTAACTATATAGTGTAAAAACTACATGATATGCAGAAAGGGTGTATTAAATTGTTTATATCATGTTCAGGTGAAGTAAGTCAATAAGATAGCAACGTTAAATCTCGTGAAACCACGTGTGATTTCATCTCGCGGGCTTTGGATCGTGGTTTAAAAAATGCATCCATCTCAGTCAAGTCGAGCAGCCAACTCTACGTTTTTTGGTATGTCTTGATTTTTTGAATTAATATTTACCATATTTCAGCCAAATGTAGTTAAACGTCTAAAGTGCCGCCATGTAACATGCTAAAAAAGAGCCGTTAGCTTATTTGCTGTTTTATCTGTTATCAAAGAATTGGCGCTTTTTCATTTGAATTTGTCTTTGGCACAAGAGCCGTAATATCACATTAAACCTAATTACGAGGCACTCATAACATAATTTGGTTTTCTGTGTGAATAGATTTGTCAACTGACTCTTCAGTTACATTGTGTATTTACTGCACCGTGGTGTTAGTGAGATTTTGGACATTGAACAGCTTTAGCTAATATCATCAGCGGTATTATGCTAGCTTACATCCCTACCCCTCCTGCCCTCACCTGCTGTCCTTTTGTTTTTGTTTTTGTTTTTGTTGATGCACATTGAGAGACCACATCTATTCTGCATTTCACCAGGAGTCAGCTGATGGATTGTGGGTTCAAGGTGTTATGGTAAGAAAGTATATTCTATTTTCGCTTAAGGTTTCTGTAACTTAATTATAATAGGTTTTTTATAATTATTAGGTGCATGCATACTCAAATAGACCACCCTATTAATACAACTGAGAAATCCAAAATCTGCCATAGGTTTGACTTATACCTGTATGTATTGTCAGAAAGGTGATTACTGGACTCACATTAATGCACACTTGAACTAAAATGAGGTTGTAACTTGTGGGTTCTTGGGTTGCAAATCAGAAATAAACATCTTTGGATTTTTTTAATCCCATAAGATCTGGAAACACAGTTTTTATTCAACAAAACATTACTGATTATTAACCAAGCACAGTGCCTGCTGTTATTTCAAAATAATTTTATGTCATTTCAGATGAAATGCAGCATTCCAGTGCATCCCAACCATGCCTTTACAGGTTTCTGACGGAGCTGAGTTTCTCTCTGACAGTCTGCTGAAAGTGTTTGCAAAGTGATCGGGGGAACAGGGCACAAAGCTAAAGGATGTAGCTGCCATGATGACAGTAAGAACTTTAAAATTCTTTAACTACAAAGTGTATATGTATTGCATTAGGTCAGTAAAAGATTTTTATGCTGCATCCATTGAAACAGTCAACTATTACCTGTGAGTAATGATTCCACTAAAAGGATGCCATAATTTTCGTCATGCATTTACTGGCCCACTGAGAAAAATTTATCTTTTTTTTTAAAAATAAATGTTCTGGAAACTATATATCCATAAAGTTGATGTCAAACAGGAACTTTTGATATTGCTTTGTAGATGCTGGTGTTGCATGTTGACTGGTTTAAGTTTTGGTCTGGGATCATTTTCTTCTGTGCTACTGAAAAGTTCACAAATATCTGTTTTCTTTGTTATAATACTTTAGGATGACATTAATGCTCAAAGGGAGTCTCATCAAAGTGCTCCGCATCTGTGTGAAAGACAATTGCAACATCTTGGTGCAGGAGTTCATGGTGAGTGTTTTATGAGTAGATTGTGGCTTTGCAACATTTTAAAATGCATTTAGTTATCCACTTGATCCTCATTGGACCAGTTAGGACCAGTAGTCCTCTTTAATAATTTGAAGTTCACATGAGGCCTGGTAGTGAACTCAGCCGCCGGCCCTTGAGGCCCCACCCCTGTATTAGGGGTCACATCAGTGTGAAAAAACTTTAAATTTGTCATTCTAGTGAACAAAGGAAAATCCCACCAATATTTACATTAGCTTTTGTTTGAAAAAAAAAAAGACCAACAGCTAACCAAATTGTGGGGCTGAAAGTCTAAATTCTAACATCTTCTGAGTGACAAAACCTGGATTTCTGATGGGCCGGTGTCTTTCTAAGAAAAACTAATGTAAAGCATTTGAAATTATGTTTTTCACCCTCTCTTAGAAACTCTGTTAGACCATGAATGGCAGCATGGCAGGCCACTCTTTGGCTATAGCTATTTACTATGTTGCTTGCATTGGTTTAAATTACTCTAACATTAGAACTGGTAGATTCAAAAGAGATGAGTTTAAAAAGGAATCTTAAAGAAATGTTTTGTGTTTAACCAGGACTTGACTGAGGCCACTGCACAGATTGAGAAAACCACAATGAACATCTGTCTCCAGAGGATGCACCAGGCAATGACTTTTCTGACGTTGGCATCATCATCGAGGGTATAGTAGTTCTTCAAGATCTGGATAACGTGACCTTTGCAGTAGCCATGCTGTTTGGACCTTTTTTATTCCTTCAATATGAGTTACCCATCACAACTCTGCTACACTTTTGAGGTGATTCAAAGGGTGGTAATGGAGTTGGAAGCAACTCAGCTCTCAAGAAAAGCTCACAACTAAGACAAAACTGCTCCTGCAACGAAGCTCACTGTTATGCATGTGAGGTGACCAGCTCTAGGTGAGAAGACATTTAAATCTCACACTTGTTCTGCTGCATTTTTGAAGCTCAATTCCAGGAACAGATCGCAGGGTTCATTTTTATATACACTGCAACTGCCATGAGGACGAGCCGTTTTTTTGTTGTTGTTGTTGTTTGTTTTTCCTTTTGCTCTGTACAAGTTCTCTGTCTGTTTGGCAGCATTTTTAAATTTCTCTTTGTATTTTTTCTTTCTTTTACTAGTGAAGAGATGTAGCATGAACAGTTATGCAGTCTAAATATCCCATATGGGCCGTGTGAAATGGTATTTTCAGTTTCATTCAGTTGAAGTAAGGAACGTTGAATATTTCTAAGCTTGCTGTTTTGAACCAAGATGTCACAGTATGATCAGTGCCGTAATTTTTGACAGTCACTGTATCAATGTTATTTTTGCATCTCTTGAATAAAGGTTTTGACATGCAAGTGCTAATTTCTTTAGTTATTGGGGTAAAATGGGTAATGTTAATAGGAAGGTGTTTGCCAATTCAGTAACCTAATTTAATGTTAATGGAAACTAACATTACCTCAAATTGTTTAGTTATAATTGTTGTTTAACTGAATCTTGACGTCAGAGGCCTTAAATAGAATGTTTTGTATTGTTCTTTCCCAACATTTTTCAAAAGAAAGAGTCTAATTTCTTTGCTGTGATTGATTCCAGAGAACACGGAAGAACTGACATTATTTAACTGTTGGTTTATATAGATTCAGTAGTGGAGTAATGTCAGTTTAATTCTTTACCTACTGTCAATGCAGTGAAATTAGACATTTTGTTTTGAAAGGTTACTGGTGGATGCCAGCAACCATCTTGGAAGAGAACAATATAATCTGTTATAAGGCCTCCGTTTGAAAATTGTGTATTTGATACTAGAATATAATAGCAAAATGTAATTTGAAGATAACATGTAGTATTTAAGTGACCAAGTAGTATTGGGTAAAAGTTATTGAATGGTGTTGGGATAAAGTGAGAAAATTGTGAAGGATTAAAATATTTCAAGAGCTCAAATTACTTCATCAAAACATGTTTAAGTCACATTTTATCAACACAAATTGCACAGGTTTATTGAACATGAATAAATTGTGTTAATTTAACTCAATTGTTTAAGTTGCTGCCAAAGCAAAACATCTGTGTGCAACAAATGTCCACCATTGAATTAAGTAAATCCAACAACATATTTTTTTCAGTGTAAAACAGAGCTACCTAGATCACTTAAATTACACAATTGAAAGCATGAAAGCATATGTGTATTGTTTGTGTATTTATACACAAGCACTATATTCATATATAGTCAAATAATTAAAAAAATTAATTTAAAAAACAAATGTTCATTTACAGGGTTGGGAAGGTTACTTTTAAAATGTATTCCATTACAGATTACAGAATACATGCCCCAAAATGTATTCTGTAACGTATTCCGTTACGTTACTCAATGACAATAATGTATTCTGAATACTTTGGATTACTTAATATATTATCATGCTTTTTACAAAAACGTGAATGTACTATTGCTGTGTGATTTATTACTATTACTGAAGGTCCGCGACTCCGAACTGTAGTAAAGGGACCTCTGACTAATATGGCGGGGTCCATGACACAAAGCACCACAGAAACTTACTTTGGAGTGGAGGTGTTGGATGGGGGAGCAGGAGGGACAAAATCCCAGACTGGAACACAGATGCAGAGACGGGTACAAGATAACAGAGTTTATGAAGATACAGATGTTCAGCAGCTGTGTTCACTGGTGTGTTTGTGTGTTTTACGTACAGTTCTCCAGCAGGATGCAGGTACTTGATGATAAGATATTTAAAAGTGTTATATGGCACCGACTGAGAACACAGCACATGTCAGGATCATTATTGTCTTAGTAACCAAATTATAAGCAGAGACACAAAACCATGCTCAGAAAGGTTCATGCTTGTTTTTTGAGTGTATTGAGTGTATGAATATTTATGTTACGATATGCAAAAAGTCCATCAGTTATTGGAGGAAACAGCTGTGTTGCTTTACACTGTAAAAAGGAATCTGTAGAAAAATAGAAAATGTCCAGGTAATATCCTGGTTCTGCAAGTACATTTTAAGATTTTTTTTTGTGAGGGCCAGTGTCCTGCAGGTTTTAGATGTCCATGATACAACACAGCTGATTTAAATGGCTAAATGACGTCCTCAACATGTCTTAAAGTTCTCCAGAAGCCTGGTAATGAACTGATCATTTGATAATATCAAAAACCTGCAGGACACCGGCCCATGATATGCTATACATATGTAGTCAGTTATGGCCAAAAACTCACCTTTGATTACTGACTTGCATTCACTTCATCAATGAATTGGAGTGAACACTTGTCCTACATTAACACTGTAGGGTCTTTACCTTACAATATAAAGTTACTTGAGACAGGATTTGTTGACTGTTAACTGGTGCTATATGAATAAAACTGAACAGATCTAAAGGTGCTCCTGAGATTTGCATTTATTAGAACAGGATGAATGGACGACCACAGCCCTCTCAGTACATGGCTGACAGGACTTTTCCCCATATAATAAATCAAACACAAAATAGATTAAGACAGATTACTATACCAAACTTAAAGATGAAAGTGCATTTAGTGGATTTGGTTTATCAGCTCTTACTTTTCAAAGACATTGAGGAGAAAAGTACAACTATAAGTGCTTGTTCTGATGAAGACTTTTAAACTGTAAACAGCAGCTAAGTGAATAAGGATCTGTGTCCACGAATCCTCGGCAGTGACAACACTGAAACGCCATAGTTCGAAATCCTCAATGCGCGCCTTTTGTCCACTGTGTTCAAAATGCTCTCAACTGTTAAAGTAGAGGAGAAAAGTTTGACATATTTCACGACCATTAAACGTTAGAGAAGCCTCTCAAAAAGAGGTCACGGTTACTTCCCAAGCAAAAACCTCTGCTTGTGCTCACAAACCCTAAAAAGCAACAAATAAGACAATAATAAGACAAGTGACTACAAAGTGACACCAGAGGTTGGTGAAGAGCAACCATGAAGTGAGACATTGTGTGCACACCTTCTAGTGATACCACTCTTCATATACCTGTGTGATAAAGTCCTGGTAGTCCATCAAATTCCATCGGAGCTTTAAAGAAAATACACTCAGCTTTTCCTCGGATTTTCAGAGTTGTTCGGTTCATACAGGAACTTGAGCAATCACACTTAACGTGTCGCTGTTTTGCTCCACCACCTCAGCCAATAAGCCCGGTCACAATTTATTTTGAGGAAAAAAGAAACGAAAAAAAGACATTTTAAGAAGTTTGTTTTTTGGTGCTGTTGTTTACATTTAAGCTAAAATAAAAGTACAAAGTTTAGTATTGAGAAAAGTAAGGTCGGCAATGACTTCAGTCTTAGCAGAGGGCAGTGACACTATTGGTTTAACCCCAAAAAGATGATTTTGTTCATCTGGACGTACCTTTTGTGGATGGATGTTTTTCCCACTTAAAAAGGTACGTCCAGATGAACAGAATCAAGATTTCCATACACAGGCGATTTAGGTGCATTTAGAAACTACTGATTTACGTTAATAAGCGAGTGCACACATTTCCGGCCTCTTATCACTTAGATTTCTGAATCTTAAGAGTGAATCGATTTACAGCAGGAACTGCACACTTAGCCATCAAGCGTTTTGGTAAAGTAGCACGAGTAGTGTAAAGTTTTGTAGGGTCCTGTTAAAAATCACACAAGCATCACAGCACATCTGGCATATTTAGTTCCATTTATTATAAACTATAAATTCCAGTTATCCACTGATCAGTAGTTTTTGAGTAAATGAATGTCACTGATAAATCAGTGGTGATTCACCTGCAAGTGTTTTTATAAACTGTATTTTGTTTTTGTAGAACTCACCAGCAGCTGTATTTGAATATCTCCTGTTCCACTTTTCCCTAACCTGGAAGCAAAGGATGGCGTAATTCTGACTAGGACACAAACCTTGGCGCTTATCATAGACGTTACATTGTCCGTGCAGCAAGAGAGAGAGCAGTGACTACTGATTAAGATCATTCAGAAACGTGTCCCTTTCTGGCAGCTGTGGCAACTTCTAATAAGAAAGTTTGCATTCTTAGAACAATGCTGGGTCATGTGTGATGTGTCATCGTGTGAGGTGTTACATTTGGACTTAATTCTGCTCAATTAAGTGTTTTGATCTTTCATTAAATATGGCAACTGTGTGGTGTGCTGCAAGTTGAAACCCACTGTCCTCATGAGCACAGTATCTAACAACTCACCTGAAAAAACTGATTGAATTCAGCTGGACACAATGGTTTTCAGTGGGAGAAATGTTTCATCACTCATCTGTGACACTGGAGAAGTCACTTGGATGAGTGACAAAAAATTTTCCTTGGAAACATCCAGAGGAACTAAACCTTTGGGCATATCCTTGCCTGTAATTCATTCATCAACAAATGTTTTTATGTATAAATCTTTTCTTTTTTTTCAGATCTTGTTTCTCTTGGCTTAATTTCACAGAAGAAAACCTCTCTGGAGTTTAACACAAAAACTGAAGTCAAATAGTGAATTCACGTAAGACTGGAATTTATAGGAATAAAAAGAAATAAATACTGCTTAAGCTGAATAATTGTTGGGTTAAAGTTACTACTGAAGTTCTGTGTTCTCTCTCTCTCTCTGTGTAATATATATAATACACACACACACACACACACACACATACATATATATATATATATATATATATATATATATATATATATATATATATATATATCATTTTTAATAACATTTTTATAAAAATAGTTTTTATTTTAAATTAAATTGTTAAATAATAAATTAATTTAGTAATGTCTGAATAAATAAAATTATTTAAAAACGTATTTGTAAATGAATGTACAAAGGCATAATTTATTGTACAATTCATTATTCAAAGACAGAATTCTTTATTTCGATGCATGTGGCTCCTCCATGGAGTACTAGCGATGCCTTGCAGAATAATCTCTGCACAAAGGTGTCTGGAGTTACCTTGGGATATGCATTAGCCTCTCCTCCCACTCTTCCAGCAAGATCGTGCTGAGAGTCAAAGACAGGTGGCCATATCTCTACAGTCTTTAATGTAGATGTTGATAAGTTTCTGTAAGACTGCTGCTTCACTGATGATGTTCACGTTAAGGAATAAACAGCACTTATAAATTCATAAATAGTTTGAACAGCAGAGGGCAGCATAAAGCAAAGCAGTGAATGAATGGGAGATTTCGACAATTACAGAAAAAAAGATACACAGATGAAAATATGTTATTTTCATACAGTAACCTGATACCCTATGGAGGGACAGGTCTTTAAATATATATATATATTATGAAACACTTAAAAATTTACATTAAAAAAGCACGTATCAACAACAGGGGATTAAAAAAAAAATTTATTCTTTATTTTTTCTCACCTATTTTGATCCTGAAACTCCGAACTAATTCTCTGAGTGGTGAAAGGTGCTGAAAAGTCCGTTTAAAGACGACACAGAGGAAAAAGGCAAGTAGGTAAGGACGGTATGCGAAAGTAGCGCGCAGTCGTGAACATTTCTGAACAGTTACAGCCAATGTCGACACGGAAGTGGGTTAAATGGGTCACATTATTTTCTCATTCATTTCTCTCAGGTGTTAGAGAGGTTTAGCGCTTTTAGGGAGAGACGGTTAGTTAATATTATACATGTTAAGCAGTTTCTCCTGGACGCTAAAGCACTGTTTTGAAAAGTGGAGATTGTTAAGACGTATAAACAAAGGAGACAGGAGTTAAAGCCTGGCAGTAATGACGGAGAAAGGCTGCAATCCGGTGGCCCGGACGGTACTGCAGCAGTGTTTGCAGGCCAGGCTGCAGGTGAAACCAGCAGATGAACACTCCGAAGCTCAGTTTGTCCAGGTGAGAGACGCATTCTCTATCACTGCTTTGCAGACATAAACCAATCAGTGCTAGCAATACTGATAATATGCTTAAAAAGCTATCAATATAAAACAAAGACATTAAGTAAATATTGACAAAATCAATATCAATTACTAGTTCAGAAATACAAAGTAATGTATATATTGATTCACGGATGTGTGTGTCAGACCTTTTCTTATTTTGACTTTATATGTGTTGCACATGATGCAACATCTTGGAGAAAGGACATAATTTTTACTGTATTTAACATTTCTGCTTTTATCTGTACTCTCAGATTAAAAGAGGGATGGTGATCTACATCTGCTTCTTCAAAGGAGCCACAGATGACATCCTACCCAAGATGGGTCAGTGAATTTTTTACTTTTTTCTTTGTTCTTAATAGTGAACCCCTGCTTCCCTGTGAATCCCTCCACAGATGATAAAAAAAGTTGTGTCCTCGCTCTGTCCAGTGTCCACGCTGTTGAACCTGCGGCTGAGCGAGTCGGATTCTGGGAAGATGGTGTCAGTGTTGGACCTTCCCGGGAGTTTGCTGATTGTCCCTCAGGCCACGCTGGGAGGAAAGGCCAAAGGCAGAGGCATGCAGTACCACAACAACATCAGCAAGGAGGATGGGCTGCGACTGTACAGCGCATTCGTTGCTCTGTGTGAGAAGGAGCTGAATGCTGCTGTAGCTGAGAGCAGCGCTGAAGTGACAGTAAAACACGGGACCTATGGTAACAGACAAGTGCTGAAGCTTGACACCAATGGACCATACACACATCTGATGGAGTTCTGAAGCTGAGCTCACCATCTCAGAGACAACATGTCATACTATTGTGTCTACCAATGCAGCTAGAAAGACTGATGTACTCGTATCTGAGTTGTGCATCTTTCAATATAAACAAAATAAAAGAGATTTAGAATTTGTCAGTTGTTTGTGTAATCGGCCAAAACTGGATTGTGTATGAAGGCTTTCTGATACTGTGGGACACTACCAGTCTCTACAAACACATGAAAAACTGAAAAATGAAGAGAGAAGGATGGAAATCCCTCAGCCAGACACAGACAGAGTGCTGTATTGTTTTTATTTATTGTTTAGTTAGACTGGGAGGAGCTGCTGGCACTCTTTTAGTCATGCCTTGGAATAATTGTTTTGCCTAACTGAACAAGTCGCCATGCATGTTGTTTTTCAGTGAGGCTTAAAAATGCTCTCAAAACAATCTATGCCACATGCTTTAGTGATGATTCTCTTATATTCAAGTTTTATTTATATTTCTTCAGCTTCTTCAGATGATGATAACATTGTGTGCCTTGTTAATTCTTTTAACAATCACTGCTTTGCCAAACTCAATCAAGTCACTCAAAAATTGTTTCTCATTCACTGTGGATAAACAATCAATCTCATGGCCTACGAAACACCCATCAAACAACCGAATGACTGTGATTCCATGGGTTTTGTGGTCCATCATAAATATTTCCATAAACCCTTTTGATTCTTATAATGAATAAATTGTAATAATTATTGGATACTAATAAGAGCATTACTTTCATTATTGTTCTTTCCTCCATCTCAGCATGCTGTGTTACTGTCTGATGATCACTGGAATGCATTACTCAGTTACTTTGTAAACAAAGGGATGCACTTGAGATCCCAAATCTCTCTAACTTCCACCCTACTTTTAAAATACCTCCTAACTTTAATGTGTGTAAACTTGATGTTATATTGCTACTCTAGCACTTCATTTTCTTGGTTATATTACCCTATTAATTCACATAAAATAAACAAATATAATAGCAAATATAAAAAAACAAAAGTAATAAACAATAATATACCAATAAAATAATCATACACGTTTAAATAAAATTACATATTTGTGTATATTTACTTGCAGGTATTTGCACAGCTGTTGCATTCAGATTGATGTGGTTCTGGCAAAATTTAAACATGATAATTACCCAGCTGCAGGACAAATGTGTACAATTCTAGGAACTATAACTCACAGACAGTAATCATGTAGCTATATAATGAAATCATTAATACGATCTTGTTAAACAGTTTTTATACTACACTTTATCACTGCCATATAACATAAGATGTGAAACTTGTTGTACCATCTCACTATAGATGTAAGTAAGCTGGACTGCTGAAATATCAATACAATTTACCTCGTTCACCCATTCACGCTCACTCATAGAAGCACTTTTTGCTATGCTTTTCCATTTTCCAACAGTTGTGATCATAATATAAAATAAATGTAGACTTATCTTTTTATAATGAGAGTTTACAGCACATGCTGTTTCGCTCTCTTCTCTGAAAGTTAAAAGGAAAGAAGACAATAACAGACAATAACAAAAAAGAGAAAAACAAGACAAGAGGAAAGTCAATAAATGATTTCAGCAACTACAAAACCTGCTGGTTTCAGGAGGAGTTGCCATAATAATATAAAGTAATCATACACTTATCTTTTTCTAATGAGTTTACAGCATTTGCTATTTCGTCCTTCGTCTCTTCACTGAAAGTTAAATAAAGATAATAACAAAAAATTAAATAAATAAGAAGAGTTACCGATCAGAGTTCTGATACAGTCATAGAATAAATATGTGTCTACTTATCTTTTAAAATCGGTCATTGTTCTTGTTTTCTCCATTCTCTCTGAAAGGCAGACAGCAGATGAAGAAAAGTAAGTTAAACAGCAAAGTAGACAGAACAAGTACCTCTCAGGATATCTCATAATGTGTGCATTTCTACTGGACACCTGTCCCAATGTTTCTCATAAGAATCGAATATCTTTGCCACCAAGCAACAGTGAATCATACCAAGAAAAATCTGAGGCATCAGAGTGAAAAATAAATAAATAAAAATCACAGTCAATAATAATTTGGGACATAAAGTCTTCAAAACTAAAATAATACTGTCATTTGATGACTTCCTAATTAAAATACACAGCTGGGGGAATAAAGGCTCTGTATGCCTCCTTTTAAGCCATCTATCTATGTATGTTAACTGGCACAGGTCAGTAACAGACCGGGTGTAAAAAGAGCATCTTAAGCTGGGAGATTTTGTCAGGCATAAAGATGAACAGAGGGTCACCAATCTGCAAAAATAAAAAAAACGAGAAACCAAACAAACAAACAAATAAAAACTGCATCTACAAATTGTGGAACGACTTCAGAATGATGCAGAGAATCAATATTGGATGGCTGTGGGTTTGGCAGTACTGCATTTAAAAACGAGCATTGATCTTTGTCCCCGTCTGGTGGAAACCAATTCCTCTGCCCTTGCTCCTTGATGGCTGGAAGTATCATTTACTTACTTAGACTTATTCGTCACGATCACATGACTCTGGTCTTGCAGAGAGAACAATGCGTCCTCCGGAGTTGCGAGGGGCGCTCTTGTTTCTGTCAGAGAACGGAAGTGAGCTACACTCAGTAAGCTTGGGTTACGGCAGCTTCTGCAACCTGTGTGAAATCATTCTTCTGTCAAGTGATGACCATGTGACAGCAATTAAACTTCCGTTAAAATTATTTCCTGTGAAAATAAAAGCACTGAAAACGCAAACAAACGACTACCATTCAAGAAATAGTTTTATAAGTGTACTTTATTTTCTTTTATATATGTATTTTCTTCCCATCACTACCCATCCGTAAAACGTTGGGGTTTTTTGGTATAGCTTACTCATTTGATTCAACTTATTGTTGTTTGTTCAAAAATATCATATAAATCGTTTTTGAATGACATATATCATTATAATGTAATTTATTACTATAGAATACTTGGCATGACTCAGTCCCTGCGACCAACATAATACTTGTAATTGTTTCGCGAACATGAAAAAAAAATGCACTTTTCGTTTTTTAAGGGCTAATTACTTTAAAAAAAAGAAAAGAAAATGAAAAAATAATTGACAAACGTAATAACCCTTATTTTGAAATTATCCATACCGGAACGTGAAAGATTATTACTGCGGGACAAGTTTGCGCGGAACAAAACGCCACAGTTAGCTATTAATTTGCTCTTAAAATGTGTTTCTTTAGAGCACGTGTGTATAAATTCAGATAATTTGAAAGAAAAAGATTTAATTATTTGAAGAAATCTGTGGGAAAAATAAGTACTTGCAGTAGAATTTATGTTAAAAGTTGGAACCGGTGTAACGAGGATTTGTGTCGAATAGACGAAAGATGATCTAAGGTAGGGAAACGTCTGCTTATTTCACGACACGTTTCCACAATTAAAATAATGTCGGTTTACATTTGCGCATGTGCGCGCCACAAGAGCAGGCCTAAATATGAGACTACGTTTTTTATTACAAACCTCTCGGCATTTACTTTTTATTTTTTTATTTTTGTACTTGTCAGTGAACTAATTGATTAACAGTAACTAAATGTTAATTGCTTGTTTTAAATAAACCACCGCCAAAAGCCAAAGTGAGTCAACACATTATTGACAGAATACCAGTTATTTAATCATAAGCACCAAGAAAGAGAGAAAATTCATATTTAGTTCATAATTGACAGACCATTGTGAACTTGCCTTTAAAATTTACAGTATTTAATGAAACATTTTAACTTACTATTGTTCAGTATGTATTGTACCTGCATTTTCTTGGATATCATTTATTACAACAAAACGTTATCATGTACTCATATTTTCCTATAGTGATGTCTTTAATTGACTTCTTCTGTCCAAAATACAGACCAAAAAGTGATTTAAAATTTGTCATCACAGAAGGCAAAGCTTGTAATTGCAATAATCTTTTGTGATTGTTAAAGTTTTAAATCACCTTTCTTAACCTCTCTGTCCTTGTTTCCCACTTTTCCACCTGCAGATGCCCTCTTATGCCTTTCTGGATTGTTTGGAGCATTATTTACTGACAGGAAAGTTTCAAGTAAATACATCAAAAAGCTGGAAAAAGCTGGTCTCTAAAGATAGCAAAAAGTTTACTTACAAAGGTACAGTAGATGTTACACACAAAAAAAAACAGTTCTCAATGTTTGGCAGCATCAAACAAAATGTTTGTATGGTGTTGAAGAGACATTAATTGAAGTTTAGCCAGCGCTGTGACCCTGTGCTCAGTTTGGTGTAATACCTATATTGACCACAAGATGGTGCTTTGTTGTGAGAACTACTACTACTACTGTTGTGACTAAAATTTATATATAATTCATTGTGCTACATTTAGGTGGAAGTAAAATTTCTGATATGTTTTTAGATCATTTTAAGTTGAAATTTTGAATAGCTAATTAAATATTAAAATGTATGGTTTGAAAACCATTGAACCATTGCCACAAAAGTTGTTCCAGTAACGTCACATCTTCAGAATCTATGAATTACCCAATGTTCATACACCCATGAACATTTTGTAGATCACCTGGATAATGCATGAGAGAAAGCACTGCCCTGAATATAGCCTTTCAGTCACTTATTAGGAATGTTGCTGAATGCTCAAACCTCCAGATGGCTGTTTGTGGCGGTCTTATCGAGGCCGCCTCCTCCGTGTCGTTAGGAGTGACGAAGAAATACGTGAGATCCTGATACAATACCACAATAACAACAACCATGCGCGCCGGGAACGGGCAGTAAGGGAAATAATGGTGAGTTTAAATGAGGTGTGTTCTTTAAGTCACCAAAATGGTTAAAATTAAGGCTATTCATAGAAAAGTGTTTTAACTCTTGATGTCCATCCAGCTGATGTATTACTGGGTTGGAGTGACTGCGGCAGTGAAGAACTGGATAAAGGCTTGTGACGTTTGCCAGAATCAACCTACTAAAGAGCTAGCTAATCTGCGCGTCCAGTTTTGCCTGGTTTATGGTTGTGATTCTTCCAGTTACATACACCCTGAGATCACCTTCCACAGGTCAGGTGGCGTTACACACTGGGCTCAATTGTCTCAGATCTAAAACAAAAAAATTGTATTTTGCACAAAGA